CATGCTCCCAAGTGCCTTTGAACATTGTCTGGTCTTGTAAAGATTGTTTGACATGTCAATGCTTTATAGAAAGACGGAGGAGGATGTTCAAGTGAAATTGATTTTATACGCAGGATTGCATTGTGCTGTGATGCTTTCACTAACAAGTGACTAGGAGGCATGACACAACACAGGAAGCACATTCCCTTAGTAGTTTAACCACAGCTGGCACACCTAATATAAGGCAGATCCTTGAGGGTACACCCTCACTATGAATACAGATAGAATTGAATAGATCTTTATCCATTTGACATTTGCACGGAAATCCTTCCCGAAAGTACCGAACCCAACACCCCCACATACACAAACACATGACAGGCTGGGAGCAGCACAGGGTCAGCTGCAGAGCAGTGCCCCTGGAACAGTTTGGGGGTTAAGTGCCTTGCTCAAGGGCACAATTGCAGTAGGTAGCACCTAGGATATATTCCAACAACCCTCCAGATAAAGAGGTTATAAACACATGAAAATGCATGCACTCACTTCTGTAAGTCTCTATGGATAAGAGCATCTGCTAAATGACTAAAATGTAAACACCATTACTTATCATGTATCAATCAATCAAACCAGTAGTCGACTCCTAATAAGTCTTCATTGGATAAGCACAAACTCTGTGGAATTACAGTGCTGTTCACCTCCTAATTCAAACACCTTTTTGGCTCTATTTACTTTACTTTGTTATTTAAATTATATTTCATGACAGTCCCAAACAATTCCATTCATCAGGAGTCAACGTTAACTTTTTGTCATTCTTGCACAGCACCATAACGCATCTAGAAAGTCAATAGCGGCCAGTGAACAACAACGTTTTCTTCAAATAGGAACAGAACGTCATGAGACATGGTGGGACCGCAATGTCATACCTCCCATGCAGTGTCCCTATACCACCTGTTTCACAGTACACAAGTTAACTAGACATTAACTTCATTCATGGCTTAACCTAATCATTCATTAACATCCCTTTCACCACTCCTCAGATCTATAGATATATACATTCATCCTTCCTCATGCCTTTGATCTACAGTAAGAACCTCACATGCCTGCTCTAACCACCAGAGCCATAGGCTATATATAAATACATACAGTATATCTCTATATATGGCTGCCCCACCAAAACTCTTGTCACAGTTAATGTTTACAATGTTTGCTGCCTCTGTCAGGCAGCACTTTGATTATGTGCATTGTACATGTACTGTAGTCGTCAAAACAATGTCTTGACAGGCTGTTCTAAAGCACGGATTAGAGATAAATCTCTACAGGTGGGTCCACGTCCCTGGCTGTATGTTATATCACAGTGTGTTCTGTTTGGAGGAAAGGCCAACGCTTGCTACTGTTTTCATGGGAAGATAAGATACCAACATTCCTCTCATAACTGATACAATGAAAAGGCGAAATGATTTGCTTGTCAATATATGCTGCCATTGCACAACAAATCATTTCACAGCCACTTAATTATTTGATTAAATGGACTGAGAAGTGTTTGAGTAGGACTACTCTTTCTCTTTAAGATAAATTGATTATACCCCAATAGCATCTGGCATATCTTCACAGAGTATTATACTGTATATACAGTTTATATTTCTATATCGTTTATTTCATATAGAACTACCACAGAAACATTGAACCACTACCATATGATCTTTTACCAGCGTGAGAGAAAGAAACACTTTCTTTCCCTCCCTTTCCCGATACCCACACCTTGGAATTTGGGAACACCGCCCACACGCCTGCCAAATCTCACGTGATGTCCACCAGCTCAGGACATGTCCACTTCCTGCTGTGCCTGTTGGTGGGTGGAGCCTGTTGTATTGTTCCTGTGTGGACCGAGGTGGCCTGATTCCCCCTGGCCCCTGATTGGCTGAAAAACGAGGCCTTGATCATCCCCAGACGTAAAGAAAACACACTCTAAGCAGGAGATTTGGAGCATGGTGAGTGTGTGTGTGTGTACCAGCCAGGGGGTTGGTTGGTTAATAAAGAGGTTTAGGGCTGGGGCCAGGAAGTTATCACAGCCTACAAACAATTCATTGTTTGTGTGTGAGGTGTAAAGTGAGACTGCACACTTCCTCAATGTGTTTATATGAAGGTAGGGTAGTATAATGCAATGTGGGTTAGAGAAGCTATCTGTTGCAGGGCATGTGGCGATGTCTTGAATGATAAATGATTGAATCAGTTGAACAAGTAAACAAATAGTGAAACGTGTAAAGTCGTCATCGTAAACCTAAAATGATCATTTCAATAATGGCGACAGGCCTATCAAAAATGTTCATAATACAATTCAATTTGCAACTCTACAAAATGCTAGCTCAGGGGTGGTCTAGAATTGTTCTAATCCGATGTATTAGTGCAGGTCTGGAACAAAAGCATGACCACAATGCGGCTGCCCAGGACCAGGATAGACCACCCCGGTGCTAGCCTATGAATTCCTCAGTGGTCATAATCCACCATGGTCATAGTCCAGACAGTATACTTCTCAAATCAGGCCAACCTTTCTCCATTTGGACACCTGACCTGTCATCCAATTCCCCTACACAGAGGCACTGCTAGGACCACTGACCCTAATCACTCCTCTACGTAATAACAGTGTCAGAAAAGGGGACAACTGTCACCCGATCTCGATTGGCCAGTCAGTTACAAATCAGTTGCAGAAGCTACAACAAGAATGACTCAAAGCTACCAGTGAGATGGGAGCCTTGCAGCAAAAGCCTGCCAAAGCATGAAAATATTTTCACAGCTCGAACCAGTGAATGATTTAGTGCGCTGGTGTCATAATATGAAAGTGTCTGGCAGCCCCTGGTTATGTAATGGTTATTATAGGGTTGTTTCTCCAGGCTAGACCTGAGGCTATTACTGTCTCATTACAAACATTCTCTACTCCTAATTTCTTTTGCCATTTGAAGTGCACTAAAAACTAAAGTCATTTGTTTTTTTATTCACCACCATGAATTCACCCCCGGTTTAATGACAACCAAACCTTCAGAACATGAGAGTATTTTTGCTACTCATCCTAGGTTTTGTGGTGTGTCTATCTGTTTTGTTAGTATGTGAGAACAACGTGCACATGCTTAGAATAATATCGTTTTTTAGCCTATACAGGACCAAACTACAGTAGGCTACGTGTTACAACCTAACTACTATGGTAGAAATACGGAGATCCAGTAGGCTTTGTGCGTTTCTGCCATCTAGTGGCAGAATATCAATATCACCAAAGACTCAACAGCCATTTTCACGACTTGTGCACCAAGGACTCGACAGCCAATTAGATATGACATGATGAGTTACTATGTCATTGAGATATACAGTACTCATTCTAGGGCTCTATTCAATCTGGAAAGCTGAAGCGTTACAGATTCCAGGATAGAAATGTAAAGGTAATTTCTGATTGAGCCAACATATTTAAATTTACCGTGGATGCAGTCTCCGCTAAAGCAGGAACATTGCCTTTAAATTTCTATCACGCTATAACGCTGAACTTCCATGATACGGATTGAATAGAGCCCTGAAACCTTGCTCACATGGGCAGTTTGAAGTGACTCAAATCCAATTTCTTTGCATATCTGATTAGAATCTGTTCTTTTTCCTGCAATCTGAACAGCCAAAAAGGACATGGAATCAGATATTTCAAGCCACATTTCAAACCACCTTTGAAGGTGGTTGGAAATCAGATAGAAATCAGATTCCTGGCCATGTGACTTGAGTCTAAACAGTCAAATCTGATTTATTTGCCCTCAAGTGGTTTTTAGACTGTTATTGGCATATTTTGTTGCTTGCTAACTACTCTGTTGACAGTTTTGACAAGAACATGTGGTAGCTAACTAGCTTGTTAATTGTTCACAAACAAATTAGTGACTGCTGTGGCTAGCCAAAAATGACTAGTTTTGAATGTTGGATCATCTTATCCTTTGAGGCTTTAAACATGTTCTTACACTATGATTCTGAACATTCAAAGCAACTGGGAAATGTCCATGGCAGGCATTTTTGTCGCCTTAGCTTGCTACATAACTTCTGAGTGATAGGAAGCAGCGCACCACCACCAATCAGCCTACTCCACAGTGCACACACCCGTCGTTATTATGACAACTAGGGTAGGCATGTCAGTAAATGACTTCTGTCTGAACACACAGAAATCCGATTTGGTCACTGGTAACTTGCTGTTTGGACAGTCAGTATTCCAAAATGGATTTGAAAAACAAAACTGATTTAAGCATTAAGGCCTGCAGTGTGAACAAGGCTTTAGAGGCGATTGATATCTTGTATATCTGCCCAAGTGTTCATGCATAGCTAATTGCATATCATTACTTATTGACACTCCTGTTGTAATTCACCACTTCATACGTCATTCATGAGTGAAACATCATAGTAGACATTATCCTTTTAATAATTGAACAGCAACGACCTACAGATGTAGGATATTTATTTGAGTCAGTTTGCTACAGCAGGAAAATAATCCTGCAGCAACAGAACATTTGAATTAATATGTGGATTATAATTTATGTACATTTTTGTAGGGTTTGATACATTTTTCGTTAGGATAAATCAAGTCTGACATTTTAAAATGGAAATTACAAACTTTAGAAGCCTTTTGAAACCTTGAATACACTAGAAGTTTGTATTTCCTGCTGTGCAGGGAAATTCTCAGCAACAAAAGAGTGATCAAATTAAGATCCTACATCTGTATATTTAACTCCCATAGACACATAAAGGCATTCATCAAGATAGAGTAGGATAGCATGTTGATTTAAGTAACAATAAAGAAGAGAACCCCAAAGTAATTTGATATAGCAATATTATTCTTATTATTCCATGAAATTGGACATGTTTAACAAAACAAAGCATAGTTTAGTTCACATGACCATTAGGCTGTGTTTACACAGGCATCACAATTCTGATCTTTTGCCCAATTATTCACAAAACATCTGATCTGATTGGGCAAAATACCAATTAGTGTAAAAAGATTAGAATTGGGCTGCCTGTGTAAACGCAGCCTTAGAGTCAAAGAATGGGCTGATTATTTGAACAATATAGGAAAAAACAGGGCATGCACTGTTGAGTTCAATATGTGTTGAATGTGGGCAATCAAGATACATAGCCAATACAATGAAGTGGTAACTCAAGCCAATCGTCGAACAGAAGCCAATAAAATCTAGTGTTAATTAATTATAATTGACAGACAGAGTATCAAGTGCAGCCCATTGCCACTCCATAACACATCATCATACAGCGCCATCATTGCACATAATCAAAAAGCGCCTCAGTCATTTCCTCCACAAAGGTAGAGCAGGGCCTTTCCGTAGTCCCCAGCGGTGTCCTCCTGTGAATGAGTAAACAAATAAACACAAATTGGCATTTAAGATACATTCAGCACTACCATACAGACAAGCAGCCTATGGGTTTACATAGACTCAGTTTGTACATTTACATTTTAGTCATTTAGCAGACATTATTTTTTATTTTTTCATACTGGCCCCCCGTGGGAATCGAACCCACAACCCTGGCGTTGCAAACGCCATGCTCTACCAACTGAGCTACATCCCTGCCGGCCATTCCCTCCCCTACCCTGCACGACGCTGGGCCAATTGTGCGCCGCCCCATGGGTCTCCCGGTCGCAGCCGGCTACGACCGAGCCTGGATTCGAACCAGGATCTCTAGTGGCACAGCTGTGTAAACAACATCCATTGGATGTTGTGTCAAATGTGTTGTACATCAGTTGTATAAATGAGGGGACTGTCATACTGCACATTGTCAACCTGACGCAACTCAGAGCAGGAAGGCTGCTCATTATTACCAAGGCAGAGAGCATGTCATGCTGAGTCATGTGTTGAGAATACTGTAATACTTACAGAGTTGACAGTGTCATAAATAGATGATGTAGGCTGTAGATTGCGAGGTTGGAAATAAGGACACATGACAGGAGGTTGCGTGTATGTACTGGTCCTATCCATTTGGCGTTACACCAGTCTAGTACGCCCTCTGTGATATCTGACATCTCCCATGTTACTGGGGCTGAAACCAGGTATTTTATTCTTCCTATACAGATACGCATTAGCTAAAAACCTAGGAGGATACTCAGGAGAGCAACAGTTTGTCACAGTAGCCAACTCGTTACATTATTTTGGGATCATGTGGCTGGGGCAGGTGGAATAATGGACCTGTTACTCAGGTGACATCACAGTGTATTGGCGTGTGACAAAAATGTATCTAATGACTTTAGTGGCACTGGAGAGGTGGTAGCTGGGTATAGAGGTGGATTATTAGGGTTAGTCGTCTGGGATGAAGGTGAGACTAGTGCACTGTACATGGTTAGAGGAGAGACTAGTCCACTGTACCTGAATGGTTAGCTCGGTGTACCAGAATGGTTAGAGGAGAGATTAGCCCATTGTACCAGAATAGATAAAAGGGAGACTAGCCTATTGTACCAGAATGGATAGAGGAGAGACTTGCCCTCTGTACCTGGATGGTGTTGTAGAGCGAGGCCCCATACATCTTCTTAAAGCAGGCTCTGATGTCCAGCATGTCTGTCTCACTTCTGGACACCATGATTCTCATCAGAGTCTGGTCATCAGTGCCAGCACACTAACAAAGAAACAATAGACATCACAATTACAAATGCCTAAACCTAACCTACTGAATCCTTTTTGGAGAGATGCGATGGCAATTCAAACGTTCTCGCAAATCCTCCACGGAATGATCGATGACAACACAAAGAGCATACCCTCATAGACCCATTGAGAGACTCTGCAAAGTAGGCTGGGACACTCTTAGCACACTTCACTATGGAAAAGAAAGATGGCATTCCCAAATGATTAATTAATGTTTCAATATACAGCATGTATGCAATATGTACAGTATATAAGTGACTGATAGGGTTTTTAGGTTTGATTTATCAAAATGCAATAGAGAAATCCCATTCTTTAAGCGTGTTATATTTTAGTTTTGTATATTTATAATATATATATATATTTTACCTTACTGTGTCTTGCTTAACATCATTGTAAAGTCTTACCAACAGCCAGCATTAAGTTCTCCAGGTTTCCAGTAGTCTCGCCCTCAATGCTGCCCTCAATATCATTGCCAGACAGCTTCTTGTAGGCGTCAAACACTTACAATGAAAAACAACAAAATACAAATAAGAATGTGATGTTATTTGATGTTACAATAAAAGTGCAGAACGCAATTCTGTTTTTATGATTGAACAAAATGGCCATAATCACTCAATTATACAGTGGAAATAAAAAACCTAGAATCCCAGAGCTGACAAAAGAGCAAGCACTAAAAGCTAAAGCCTGCCCTTGGGAGGAATTTTAACACACACACACACCACACCTAGGCGAAGGTGTTCATGGCTCCTGTTGCCCAGGATGTTGATGAATTTCTCCTCATCTGTGCCAACCTTCCCCTCGCCAGCAGCAAACAGTTCCTGAAACACACACACACACACAAAAAAAACTAATATAAGTACTCCATTGATAACAGTTTATCACACTGAGCAATGTTATTATGTGGTATGTGTTTGCCTCAGATCCTGGCATTGGTGTTCAGAATATCTTATGTTATCAACTGTTTATAACAACCACTATTAGTTGCAGTGGAACACAGTAACACAGAGTTACAATGTTTGATCAATGATCCAATAAGAAATGTAAATGTTTTAGAGCCAGTCACTGAATTTCACTGAATACGATAAGGCATGGTCAATGGAGTGGATGAAAAAAGGCAAAATGAACCTTCAGGGGACCTATATTATACATGCATGTGTAATTATTAAATGTACTGTAGCCTACAATATTTATCCAAGTATGAAAACTCAAAACCTACAACAACAAAGAAATAGCTTTGAAGACATGGAATTTTCCTTTCCAGTTAGCAAATGTCCTAAATAAATGTTTCATGTCGATCATTTATCAGAGAGGACTCTGGTACTGCCTTGAAGCTTGCTTTGTCCTTCAGGCCTATGCTAATGGTTTGAAGCCATATCCTAAGCATTTTAACATTTGAGCACTTAAGACAAAATGTAATTATGTCTTGCGCTATAGCATATCACTTAGCGATCATCCATTTTACATTTTTGTCATTTAGCAGACGCTCTTATCCAGAGCGACTTACAGTTAGTGAGTGCATACATCTTCATACTGGCCCCCCATGGGAAACGAACCCACGACCCTGGCGTTGCAAGCGCCATGCTCTACCAACTGAGCTACAGGGGACTGTTAAAAGGGAGACTAGCCACCCATAGGGTTACGTTACCTTTGCGTCTTTCTCAATCCTGTCTTCCTCCACCCCTTCAGCTCTGCTCCCCTACACAAAGAAAACAGAGGAGCAAAGGGGAAGAAAAAAGAACAGAGGAAAGGGAGACGGTATGTGCGTCATGGGAGAAGAGAGATGTCTACCCTTTCGTGACCTCAATTTGCTGAGTGTCTCCCAACCTGGAAACCTGGTCGGTTAGGTTACCAAGACCAATAAACCACCTGAGGACAATGATATACAGTATGCGCCACTCCCTCCTCCTTCCTCACTCTATGCCCACCTTTCCTTAACCACTCATGACTTTATAATGACATCACCAAAGCACTCTCATTATCAGAAGGAAATATCTCTCTCATCCCTTTCTGGCATCCTTCTCCCTTCGTTTACCTGCAGAAGGATCACTAGAAGCTTTTGGAAGGGGCCTGAAGTGTCACCGGTGATATCTTTCTCCAGCTTGCCACCGCACTCTGAGAAAGATGAGAAGAGAGAGAAGGGAAGATCAGAAGATTGCTTACACTTATCTCTGACAATAGTCGCTAATGGCAGAAATCGACCCAGATTGGACGTGCTCTGTTTAGCCGAAGGTCTCCGCCAGGGGGATTTGATTAGCAGGGTAACAGATGGATCAGGCTTCTCCAGTGTCCATCTCAGATGGCCAGTGTGGCTCTCGTCCTTGGCCTATTGGGCCAGTAGCCTGGTTCCAGAACTGTTTGAGCTGTGACAATGGTGTGATAATGACCATAGGAGTTAGCAAGGCAGCACCCTTACAAAAAAGAAAAAAACACGTGGTTTTCGGACAGGTCATGTGGTTTTCGGACACGTGTGTTCACATGTTTTTTTCACGTGTTTTCTGTAAAAAAAAAAAATATATATATTATTATTGAAAGAGTCCCCATGTGAATTTGTGTTTCACACGTTTATTTTTCACATCTTCCAGCTACATCTGGTCTCCCATCCAAGTACCGACCAGGACCGACCCTGCTAAGCTTCAGAGGCAAACCAGCAGTGGGATGCAGGGTGTAATGTTGCTGGAATGTACGTGCCAAAACTTGCAACTGGAAAAAAGGCAGTGAAAGCAAAGGCCAGGGTAACATTACCAAAGATAGGGAAAATTGCAGGAAAGAGTGAGGAGGTGTTTTATTGAATTGCATTATCATAAATTATATTTTACTGAAAACTTTTTTTTTGCGTACATTTACAATTCATTTAAAGAGTTTCATTCCAAAATGGTATATATCCATTTTCAGAAATGTTGGTATATTAGCTTTTATGTTTAAAGAAAGTAAGAAATGTGTGTTTTTTCACTATCTAATCATGGCATGGGGTTGTTCAATGACAGACAAGTATTTGTTTAAAATCTATCACTTGATGGTTTCATTTCAGAGACAAATAGTCATTTTTTTTTTGGCAAAATGCTATATATCAGCCTCACTCAGAGAATAAGTAGTACTGCTAGGTTTTACACAGTAATAATATATATCAGCCTCACTCAGAGAATAAGTAGTACTGCTAGGTTTTACACAGTCAAATGTAACAAATAACTACATTTTAATAAAGAACTGTACAAGTGATTCATTTGTGACATCAATATTTACAAAATATTTTTACAAAAATCTTCAATACAGTAATATGAGATGTATATGTAAAACATTTACATACATTTTATTTTTGTAATTTAGCAGATGCTCTTCTCCAGAGCGACTTACAGTAAGTGTATTCATCTTAACCCCCTAGAGTCATGTCCAAGCTCCGCTGAAATGTAATTAGCATAATAAAAAATCCCCATCAAAATCCTTCTGTTTAAGCTCGAGATCAGTGGCAACCCCTCATTCAGGGCAGGTGGGGCTCTGTTTTGAGCCCCACCTGTTGTCTGTTTTGCATGTTATTTTGGCATTAATACGTTTCACATTTCAGTTTGCAAACAATGTAAAACAAAAATGTATTGAGTTAATAAAGCCGCATACAAACATGGTCTCTTTTTTGCTTTCTTGAAAAGCAGGTGTTTCAGCCTAGCTCACTGATTCTTGTGGTGGAGGGGCAGCCAGCGGAAAATACAGAGCATAGGGGTTGGTAATCTTCTCTAGTTGCGCCGTGATTGGCTCAGTGTTCTGTAACTCATGGAGACACTACGTCACCACAAAATCTACAGGGAGAGCTTGAAAGTTCAAGCCCCCTTGGGTGCCCATCCAAGATTTTTTTTTTTAATGAACATCGTAAAGGGTGAGCCAGATGCAGAGTTCAGCCAACTCTGTCTTACATGGTAGCACCTTTAGTTCCATGACAATAATGGATTTTTGGAATTGTAAAGTTGTGGAACATACCATATATCCAGGGGCGCAATTTGGGTTTTGAAGTGGGGGGGACATAACTCATCCTCACATTTTTGGGGGCAGCTAAAGCTAATTTCCTGCATTTCTACACAATCTAATATGACCCATGGCCCTTCTAGCCATCTATATTTAGAACAACAAAAAGTAAGCAAAAATGTCCACAGACATCAAGCTAGGTAAGAGATCCTTATTAAATATATTTAAGTGATTGATAAGACTGAACTATATTTTTGTTCAGTGTAATTCATATCATAGGCTTAATAGTACTGTAGAGCTCTTTTTACTTGCACACAATATAGCTGGGTCACCCCGTCCTACACCTAGGGGTCCACGACCCTGCAGCGCCCCAACCCAACACACCCCACTCAGCTTTAGGATCTTAGTGAAACATTCATTATTGGTTTCAGGTGTGTTAGGCCAAGGCCAGAGTGACAACCAACAGTACGGCAGACCCCCAGGGCCAGGACTGACCAGCCCAGCAGCTACGGATTGCATAAATAGGTATCTCCCCTGATGTGGGCATTTTTTCAATAGACTGCTTTTGTCCTACAGTATTCCATATAAGGCATCCATACCTTATGAAAGTTGCACAGTATACCCTTAATCTAGTAATAAATCAAATCTAGTGATACATAACTTTACATTTCTTCCATCCATTGTGGGAGGATGACCAACCTTCCAATTAATGGCACTCCATTTCTTAGCCGCTATAAATCCTAGGCTACACAGTTTCTTCTGATAACAGTCACCAGTATCAACATTTCCAAGGAAACAAAAACAGGAAGAAGGGAGAATCTGTAGACATGCTGAGATAAAAGAACATACATATTGCCAGAATTCAGCCAGTCTTCACAAGATCATTACACCTCCAGCAGCAGAATACATTTTCTGAGTGCATGATATTCAGTTTCACTGTCATATGGTACGTTCTATGGATGGTCTTAAACTACAGTAATTTATGTCTGAGATTATATGAACATGACTGGGCATTTAACATATCTGTATCCAATCATCATCATCAATAGTGTCGCCCAGGTCTTCCTCACATTTTTGTTTTAGATGTTTTGTGTCATCGGGAAAAGCCACTATCAACCCTTGATACAGTTTGGAAATCAACTTTAGAGGTTTGTCAGACTGCCTTAAAATAGTTTCAATCTTTGAAGCTTCTTGCTTGTCCAGTGTTTGCTGCACAGAGAGAATAAAGTGTTGTATCTGCAAAAGTTCACCTCTGCACTGTCACAGACTGGCTTCCCTGGCTGCCTGACCCTGATGAGACACCTGTCACTATCTGATCCTGCTTAGATGAGGCATGACAAAGAATTACCTTGGCGTACATTTACACATTATATTATCCATGGATAGAATCAATGGTTCAATAATTGAAATTACCATTATTCCCAGATCCCAGACTGTAGCCTACCCATCAACTCAAGATGGAACTTTGTATCAATTTACTGATTGTTATAATATACTGCAAAATTCACCTGAGCTCCGTAGACTTGTCTTCCCTAGCTGTCTGACTGTGCAGGGACACCTGTCACCATCTGATCCTGCTAAAACATGATGAGCATAGCGTTGTGTACTGACTCTGCACCATGACGGTGAAGCCTGTAGAGCTGTTTATACCATGTCAGTGTGAAAATTAGGGAATTAGCTAGGGAAACTGACAGATCAATAACGTTACATTGCTATACTGACTAATAAAAACTCACATTGCGCTGAAAAAAACATAAGAATATCGGTCTTCAATCGTTTGGCAGCTGGTTTCATCATTTGGTTCAGGTCTAGTGTGGTTGAGGCAAAAAGAATAGCTACAGTTAGTGATCTAGCTAGCTAGATAGCTAACGTTATCTAGCTAGCTCCCCCACCCCCTGTCCCCCCGTCCCCAGTGATCTAGCTAGTTCCCCCCCCGCCCCCAGTGAAAGTTGCGCCCCTGCATATATCTATGGCATTGGTTTTGTAGTGCCCTATCCCTCCTACAAACATCATACATGCCACATATCTATGATTTCGGCTTTGTTTAGCCTTGTCCATCATACAGTAATCCACTGATCCACCTGTTCCCCAATACAGTGCTTGATGTTGGGAGCACAGAACTACCATTGGGTTACATTAGTGGTCAACAATGCATGGTAATGCTGTCTGTCCTAGACCAAGGCCACAGAGCTCTCCTTCCTCCTTCAATGCTGTTGGTTGAAAGCAAGGTATCAGACACTGCTTTCATAGCCCAGAGAGAGAAACTTCTAGAATAAGAATGGAACAGACAGACATTCAGATTCAAAGCAATGTTCCACAATATGTGGACGACCGGTGGCCATATTGCATTCTGGGAGACAATCTGTCTCCGCATTAGCTTTAGCCAATTTGTCCAATTTATCAAAGTTTTGTCATGACACATTCAACCTCTCACCTTTCTTGTAGACTTTGACGATGTCTTTAATCTGGGCGCAGGTCCTGGATGCTAGGATCTCAATCAGCACGTCGTCATCAGTCCCCGCCCCCTGGGGAAGAACAGTCAGAGACCCTCAGAAAAGGCCACTCAATACTCAATAACTGGCTGGCCATTATGTAACAACCAGCTAGCAAGCACTTTTATTGAATTCAGTATATGTGGACATGGTACAGTATGCATTATTACAAAAGAAAAGCCTGTATATGATATAAACTGCTCCACTTGCTTAATTTTCCTGCACTTCAGTGCCTTCAGAAAGTATTCAAACTCCTTGAATTTTTCCAAATGATTAAATTTAGATTTTTTTTCACTGGCCTACACACAATACCTCATAATGTCGAAATGGAATTATGTTTTTAAATTTTTTTAACAAATTATTTAAAAATGAAAAGCTGAAATGCGTTGAGTCAATAAGTATTCAACCCCTTTGTTATGGCAAGCCTAAACAAGTTCAGGAGTAAAAATGTGCTTAACAAGTCACATAATAAGTTGCATGGACTCATTATATATGTGTGCAATAATAGTGTTTAACATTATTTTGTCATTACTACTTCATCTCTGTACTCCACACAATTATCTGTACGGTCCCTCAGTCGGGCAGTGAATTTCAAAGACAGATTCAACCACAAAGACCAGGGAGGTTTTCCAATGCCTCGCATAGAAGGGCACCTATTGGTAGATGGGTAAAAAAAAAAAAAAAGCAGCCATTGAATATCAGTTTCAGCATGGTGAAGTTATTAATTACACTTTGGATGTTGTATCAATACACCCAGTCACTACAAAGATACAGGCGTCCTTCCTAACTCAGTTGCCGGAGAGGAAGGAAACCACTCAGAGATTTCATCCTGAGGCCAACGGTTACTTTAAAACAGTTACAGAGTTGAATGGCTGTGATAGGCGAAAACTGAGGATGGATCAACAACATTGTAGTTACTCCACAATATTAACCGAATTAACAGAGTGAAAAGAAGGAAGCCTGTAAAGAATAAAAATATTCAAAAAAATACATCCAAGGCACCAAAGCAATACTGAAAAAAATGTGGCAAAGCAATTAACTTTTTGTCCAATATAACACATTACTGAGTACCACTCTCCATATTTTCAAGCATAGTGGTGGCTGCATCATGTTATGGGTATGCTTGTAATCATTAAGGACTGGGACATTTTTCAGGATAAAAAATAAATGGAATGGAGCTAAGCACAGGCAAAATCCTACAGGAAAACCTGGTTCAGTCTGCTTTCCACCAGACTCTGTGTCACACCCTGGCTCTGGGACTCTATTTGTTGAGCCAGGGTGTGTTTATTCTATGTGTTTATTTCTATGTTGGGGGTTCTAGTTTGTTGATTTCTATGTTTGCCTGAGTGACTCCCAATTAGAGGCAACGAGTGTCAGCTGTTGGCTGGTTGTCTCTGATTGGGAGCCATATTTAAACTGTCTGTTTTCCCTTTGTGTTTGTGGGTTTTTGTTCCGTGTTTCGGTCATTGATACCGTGGACTTCACGAGTCGTTTCTTGTTTTGTATTGTTTAAACTTTAACTAATTAAAGTATGTTTGTTCATCACGCTGCGCCTTGGTCTGTTCACTACGACGATCGTGACAGAAAAACCCACCATGCAACGACCAAGCAGCGTGTCCAGGGGCAGCTCTTGGGCTGGACATGGGAGGAAGCGCCGGGAGAAGAGACGGTGGAGGCGCGCCGTAGAGAGGAGCAACGGCGTGATCAGGGTCGTCGTCGGGCGGTCGAGAGGCAACCCCAGAAAATTTTTAGGGGGGGGCACGCGGCATGGACGACGGGGCTGACGGAGGCAAAAAAGGGGCGGATTCTGGAGGCCACCAGGTTACGGATACACCGCCCTGTACGTCCTGTGCGGATGCCTCACACAGAGTGTGTGAGGGTAGGCATTCAGCCAGGACGGGTTGTGGCCGCTCTTCACTCCAGGGCTCCTATCCGTCTCCACAGCCCGGTTCGGCCTGTCCCTGCTCCACGCATCAAGCCTACGGTGTGCGTCGCCAGCCCAGTCCGGCCAGTCCCTGCTCCACGCACCAAGCCTACGGTGTGCGTCGCCAGCCCGGTCCGGCCTGTCCCTGCTCCACGCACCAAGCCTACGGTGTGCGTCGCCAGCCCAGTCCGGCCAGTCCCTGCTCCACGCACCAAGCCTACGGTGTGCGTCGACAGCCCAGCCCGGCCTGTCCCTGCTCCATGCACCAAGTATACGGTGCGCGTCGCCAGCCCGGCCCGGCCTGTTCCTGCCACTCGCACCAAGTATACGGTGCGCGTCGCCAGCCCGGCCCGGCCTGTTCCTGCCACTCGCACCAAGTATACGGTGCGCGTCGCCAGCCCGGCCCGGCCTGTTCCTGCCACTCGCACGAAGTATACGGTGCGCGTCGCCAGCCCGGCCCGGCCTGTTCCTGCCACTCGCACCAAGTATACGGTGCGCGTCGCCAGCCCGGCCCGGCCTGTTCCTGCCACTCGCACCAAGTATACGGTGCGCGTCGCCAGCCCGGCCTGGCCTGTTCCTGCCACTCGCACCAAGTATACGGTGCGCGTCGCCAGCCCGGCCCGGCCTGTTCCTGCCACTCGCACCAAGTCTACGGTGCGCGTCGCCAGCCCGGCCCGGCCTGTTCCTGCCACTCGCACCAAGCCAGGGGTGCGAGTCGTCAGCCTGGTAAGGCCCGTCCCTCCTCCACGCACCAAGCCAGGGGTGCGAGTCGTCAGCCTGGTAAGGCCCGTCCCTCCTCCACGCACCAAGCCAGGGGTGCGCGTCGTCAGCCTGGTAAGGCCCGTTCCTCCTCCACGCACCAAGCCAGGGGTGCGCGTCGTCAGTCCAGCACAACCCGTGCCTGGGTCACCGGTGCCTGGTAAGGTACCGGTCAACTGCTCCACGATGGAGCTGAAGCTAACCGCTCCTGCTAAGTCCAGTTCGGCTCCAGCCGGCGGGGCCAGACTGGACCAGGGGCGCTATGGGGGGTGTATTGGAGGGTGGTGGTCAAGGCCGGAGCCAGAACCGCCGCCGAGGAGGTATGCCCGCCCAGCCCTCCCCTGTTTTGTTTAGTTGAGGCGCGGTCGCGGTCCGCGCCTTTAGGGGGGGGTACTGTCACACCCTGGCTCTGGGACTCTATTTGTTGAGCCAGGGTGTGTTTATTCTATGTGTTTATTTCTATGTTGGGGGTTCTAGTTTGTTGATTTCTATGTTTGCCTGAGTGACTCCCAATTAGAGGCAACGAGTGTCAGCTGTTGGCTGGTTGTCTCTGATTGGGAGCCATATTTAAACTGTCTGTTTTCCCTTTGTGTTTGTGGGTTTTTGTTCCGTGTTTCGGTCATTGATACCGTGGACTTCACGAGTCGTTTCTTGTTTTGTATTGTTTAAACTTTAACTAATTAAAGTATGTTTGTTCATCACGCTGCGCCTTGGTCTGTTCACTACGACGATCGTGACACTCTGGGAGATGAATTCACCTTTCAGCAAGACAATAACCTAAAACACAAGGCCAAATCTACACTGGAGTTGCTTACCAAGAAGACAGTGAATGTTCCTGAGTTGCCAAGTTACAGTTTAGACTTAAATCTACTTGAAAATCTATGGCAAGTCCTGAAAATGGTTATCTAGCAATGCTCAACAACCAATTTGACAGAGCTTGAAGAATTTTGAAAAACATAATAGGCATATGTTGCACAATCAAGGTATGGAAAGCTCCTAGAGACTTACCCAGAAAGACTCACAGCTGTAATCACTGCCAAAGGTGCTACTACAAAAGATTGAATCAGGGGTATAAATACTTACAGTGAGGGAAAAAAGTATTTGATCACCTGCTGATTTTGTACGTTTGCTCACTGACAAAGAAATTATCAGTCTATAATTTTAATGGTAGGTTTATTTGAACAGTGAGAGACAGAATAACAATAAAAAAATCCAGAAAAACGCATGTCAAAAATGTTATAAATTGATTTGCATTTTAATGAGGGAAATAAGTATTTGACCCCCTCTCAATCAGAAAGATTTGTGGCTCCCAGGTGTCTTTTATACAGGTAACGAGCTGAGATTAGAAGCACACTCTTAAAGGGAGTGCTCCTAATCTCAGTTTGTTACCTGTATAAAAGACACCTGTCCACAGAAGCAATCAATCAATCAGATTCCAAACTCTCCACTATGGCCAAGACCAAAGAGCTCTCCAAGGATGTCAGGGACAAGATTGTAGACCTACACAAGGCTGGAATGGGCTACAAGACCATCGCCAAGCAGCTTGGTGAGAAGGTGACAACAGTTGGTGCGATTATTCGCAAATGGAAGAAACACAAAAGAACTGTCAATCTCCCTCTGCCTGGGGCTCCATTCAAGATCTCACCTCGTGGAGTTGCAATGATCATGAGAACGGTGAGGAATCAGCCCATAACTACACGGGAGGATCTTGTCAATGATCTTAAGGCAGCTGGGAACATAGTCACCAAGAAAACAATTGGTAACACACTACGCCGTGAAGGACTGAAATCCTGCAGCGCCCGCAAGGTCCCCTTGCTCAAGAAAGCACATATACAGGGCCGTCTGAAGTTTGCCAATGAACATCTGAATGATTCAGAGGAGAACTGGGTGAAAGTGTTGTGGTCAGATGAGACCAAAATTGAACTCTTTGGCATCAACTCAACTCACCGTGTTTGGAGGAGGAGGAATGCTGCCTATGACCCCAAGAACACCATCCCCACCGTCAAACATGGAGGTGGAAACATTATGCTTTGGGGGTGTTTTTCTGCTAAGGGGACAGGACAACTTCACCGCATCAAAGGGACGATGGACGGGGCCATGTACCGTCAAATCTTGGGTGAGAACCTCCTTCCCTCAGCCAGGGCATTGAAAATGGGTCGTGGATGGGTATTCCAGCATGACAATGACCCAAAACACACGGCCAAGCCAACAAAGGAGTGGCTCAAGAAGAAGCACCTTAAGGTCCTGGAGTGGCCTAGCCAGTCTCCAGACCTTAATCCCATAGAAAATCTGTGGAGGGAGCTGAAGGTTTGAGTTGCCAAACGTCAGCCTCGAAACCTTAATGACTTCTGCGAAACCTTAAAGAAAATCTGCAAAGAGGAGTGGAACAAAATCCCTCCTGAGATGTGTGCAAATCAGGTGGCCAACAACAAGAAACGTCTGACCTCTGTGATTGCCAACAAGGGTTTTGCCACCAAGTACTAAGTCATGTTTTGCAGAGGGGTCAAATACTTATTTCCCTCATTAAAATGCAAATCAATTTATAACATTTTTGACATGCATTTTTCTGGATTTTCTTGTTGTTATTCTGTCTCTCACTGTTCAAATAAACCTACCATTAAAATTATAGACTGATCATGTCTTTGTCAGTGGGCAAACGTACAAAATCAGCAGGGGATCAAATACTTTTTTCCCTCACTGTATGTAAATGAGATACTTTCTGTATATCATTTTCAATAAATATGTAAAAAAAATCTAAAAACATGTTTCACTTTGTCATCATGTGGTATTGTGTGTAGATGGGTGAGACTTTTATTTATTTAATCAATTTTGAATTCAGGCTGTAACACAACAAAATATGGAATAAGTCAAGGGGTATGAATACTTTCTAAAGGCAAAGTATATACTGAACAAAATAAGTTTTCCATATGCACAAAAAGCTTATTTCTCTCAAATTGTGTGCACAAATGTGTTTACATCCCTGTTAGTGAGCATTTCTTCTTTGCCAAGATAATCCATCCACCTGACAGTTGTGGCATATCAAGAAGCTGATTAAACAGCAGGATCATTATACAGGTGCACCTTGTGCAGTTTTGTCACACAACACAATGCCACAGATGTCTCAAGTTTTGAGGGAGCATGCAATTGGCATGCTGACTGCAGGAATGTCCACCAGAGCTGTTGCCAGAGAATCTAATGTTAATTTCTCTACCATCGTTTTAGAGAATTTGTCAGTACGTCCAACTGGCCTCACAACCACAGACCACGTGTAACCACACTAGTCCAGGTAAAACCGACCTTCGATGGCCACTGGCACGCTGGAGAAATGTGCTCTTCACGGAGGAATCCCGGTTTTAACTGTACCGGGCTGATGACAGTTGTGTGGGCAGTTTGCTAATGTTTTTTCAATGGCAATTTGAATGCACAGAGAGACTGTGACGAGATCCTGAGGCCCATTGTCGTGCCATTCATCCGCCACCATCACCTCATGATAATGCACAGCCCCATGTTGCAAGGATCTGTACACAATTCCTGGAAGCTGAAAATGTCCCAATTCTTTCATGGCCTGCATTCTCACATACTCATGTTTGGGATGCTCTGGATCGACATGTACAACATCGTGTTCCATCTCCCGCCAATATCCAGCAACTTCGCACAGACATTGAAGAGGAGTTGGACAACATTCCACAGGCCAGAATCAACAGCCTGATCAACTCTATGCGAAGGAGATGTGTCGCACTGCATGAGGCAAATGGTGGTCACATCAGATACTGACTGGTTTTCTGATCCACATGCCTACGTTTTTTTTCTCAGTTATCTGTGACCAACAGATGCATATCTTTATTCCCAGTCATCTGAAATCCATAGATTAGGGCCTAATCCTTATATGAACTGTAACTCAGTAAAATCTTTGAAATTGTTGCACGTTGCGTTCATATTTTTGTTCAGTGCTGTGTGTGTGTGTGTGTGTGTGTGTGAGTGTGTGTGTGTGTGTGTGTGTGTGTTTTTTAACAATCAGTATTTTCTGACCCATATCACCTACACAGTCGCAATGCAAGATTCAAACATCTCTGACTGGCCATGCGCCAATCAACTGAGCCATCAGAGCCACCACTAACATGAGAAACAGTGAGCCAGCTCAGGAAAGTGTAAGGCAAGCAATAGGAGGGTAATATCATAATAGAATATGTGAACCAGAATTAACAAAGAAGGATGGTGACCTTACAAAACCATCCCTTATGTTGCTCTGAGCGAACCACAAACATACACGTACATGATCCATTTATAATTAATTTCTGTGCTTTTCCCCTACCTCTGCAACGTATTATATTGGTAATTATATGGGTGCAATGTATGGATATAAATATTCATGTAATACCTACACCTGATATGTGCAAAGCTGATGCCACACAAACCAACTTAGACAGTGTGTTTGAAAGCCTCCCTTTAGTGTGTATTGATACCTTGTACTTCCTGATTTACTGAGGTGCATCACGGGAGAACATTCACTGTGCATCATCACTACCATGGTAAGTCTCGTGAGTCACTTACAATTGAGACAGTAAACTTAACCCCTGACCCTGCCAAAGCTTAGAAGTACCACAGTATTCAATGACAATTTGGACAAACCCAACAAGGCTACACGGAAGGTGAAAAACATGGCCACACATATTGTGGGACACCTTCATTACTGTAGCCTATAATGGACTGGCTTTCTGCAAGGAAATAAGAAAAGACTTCAGGAGAGCTAGAAGGTTTAAGACCATTAACTGCTGGCACATGTTAACATTCACTTGAAATAATCATAGCCACATGACCAATATCCTGCACATACCTGATGGTAAAAATACCATACAATTTGTCATTATGCATAGAGAAAAGTAAGTCTGTTCTACACAAAATTACACCGCCGCACTTTACCTTGAACTGTACTTTACCTTCATTCTACATGTAGTTGCATGTCTGACTGCACAATACATGACTTATTCTTGGAGCCATAACCAAACATAGACTATACATTGTTGTACTTTACCTTGAGTGCTTTGTGGAGTTGGGAGGCGTCATAGGAAATGGGAGGCGTCAACAACGCCACAACGAGCGTCTCGAACAAGCCTCCCAGCTCCGACTTTAAAGCACTGACAAGATCCTATGGAAAAATAAAGTCAATATTAAGATAACTTAGACAATGGAAGAAGTGTTTCCGTTAGACTTCTCTTTTTAATAAGAAATATCTAAACAAATAGAGCCAAAATTGCTTACTCAATCGATACATTTGAATTATTCACAAGATCCTGAGAAGAAAAAAAATCTTTGAACAATGGAAAAAGTGTTTGCTCTGGACCTTTACATTTGTATATCTAGGATGTCACACCCTGGCTCTGGGACTCTATATGTTGAGCCAGGGTGTGTTTATTCTATGTATTGTATTTCTGTGTTGGCCAGAGTGGTTCCCAATCAGAGGCAACGAGTGTCAGCTGTTGCTGGTTGTCTCTGATTGGGAGCCATATTTATAGAGGCTGTTTTCCCACAATAGTTGTGGGATCTTGTTCCAGTTGGTTTGTTCCTTTTGGTCTGTACTGTAGGACTGCACGTATCATTTGTTGTTTTGGTTATTGTTTGTATTATCACTAACGATAAATAAACATGTTCGTTCATCACGCTGCGCCTTGGTCTACTCCGTCTAACGATCGTGACAGAAGATCCCACCATACCAGGACCAAGCAGCGTGTCCAGGAGCAGGCAGCCTGGACATGGGAGGAAGCGCCGGGAAAGGAGCTGGAGAGGTTGGCGATGGCCCAGGTGGGCAAATCGTGGTCCTGGGAGGACATGCTCGGGGGCAAAGGGCCATGGGCTAAGATTAAGGCCCTGGCGAGAGAGGAGCAACGGCGTCAACAGTGTCGTCGTCGGACGGACGAGAGGCAACCCCAGAAAATGTTTAGGGGGGGGCACACGGCATGGGCGACTGGGCAGCAGGAGGCTGCCACAGGGCGAAATGGGAGACGAGGAGAGAAGGCCACCGGGTTACGGGAGCCATTGGTGAGAGGAGGGAGGGAAGTTGTAGAGGCACGGCGAGAGGTACTGAGGTGTATTGCCAGTCCGGTCCGGCCCGTTCCTGATCCCCGTTTAAGGCCAGTGGTGTGTGTACCCAGTGGTGTGTGTACCCAGTTCGAACCAAGCCTACGGTGTGCGTCGCCAGCCCGGCCCGGCCTGTTCCTCGCACCAAGTCTACGGTGTGCGTCGCCAGCCCGGCCTGTTCCTGCCACTCGCACCAAGCCTACGGTGTGTGTCGCCAGCCCGGTCCGGCCTGTTCCTGCTCCTCGCACCAAGCCTACGGTGTGCGTCGCCAGCCCGGTCTGGCCCGTTGCTGCTCCACGCACCAAGCCAGGGGTGCGCATCGTCAGCCCGGTCCGGCCCGTTCCTGCTCCACGCACCAAGCCAGGGGTGCGAGTCGTCAGCCCGGTCCTGCTCCACGCACCAAGCCAGGGGTGCGAGTTGTCAGCCCGGTCCGGCCCGTTCCTGCTCCACGCACCAAGCCAGGGGTGCGAGTCGTCAGCCCGGTCCGGCCCGTTCCTGCTCCACGCACCAAGCCAGGGGTGCGAGTCGTCAGCCCGGTCCGGCCCGTTCCTGCTCCACGCACCAAGCCAGGGGTGCGAGTCGTCAGCCCGGTCCGGCCCGTTCCTGCTCCACGCACCAAGCCAGGGGTGCGAGTCGTCAGCCCGGTCCGGCCCGTTCCTGCTCCACGCACCAAGCCAGGGGTGCGCATCGTCAGCCCGGTCCGGCCCGTTCCTGCTCCACGCACCAAGCCAGGGGTACGCATCGTCAGCCCGGTCCGGCCCGTTCCTGCTCCACGCACCAAGCCAGGGGTGTGCGTCGTCAGTCCGGCACAACCCGTGCCTGGGTCACCGGTGCCTGGTCAGGTACCGGTCAGCTGCTCCACACCGGAGCTGAAGCTATCCGCTCCTACGATGTCCAGTTCAGCTCAAGCCAGCGGGGCCAGACCGGACCAGGGGCGCTACGGGGGGATTATTGGAGGGTGGTGGTCTAGCCCGGAGCCGGAACCGCCTCCGAGGAGGAATGCCCACCCAGCCCTCCCCTGGTTTGTTTATGTTCAGGCGCGGTCGCAGTCCGCGCCTTTAGGGGGGGGTACTGTCACACCCTGGCTCTGGGACTCTATATGTTGAGCCAGGGTGTGTTTATTCTATGTATTGTATTTCTGTGTTGGCCAGAGTGGTTCCCAATCAGAGGCAACGAGTGTCAGCTGTTGCTTGTTGTCTCTGATTGGGAGCCATATTTATAGAGGCTGTTTTCCCACAATAGTTGTGGGATCTTGTTCCAGTTGGTTTGTTCCTTTTGGTCTGTACCGTAGGACTGCACGTATCGTTTGTTGTTTTGGTTATTGTTTGTATTATCACTAACGATAAATAAACATGTTCGTTCATCACGCTGCGCCTTGGTCTACTCCGTCTAACGATCGTGACATAGGATTACAGAGCCAAAATCATTACCTTGATTAATACAGTTACATGATTAACAATTTTCATTATTAATATTCTGAAAACTTTGACAATGGAGGAAGTGTTTGTTTGGAGAAGAGCTCAATCAATACATTTGAATGATTAACGGGTGTTTTGATAACTTGTGTGCATAGAATTGTAAGCCAACGTTTGGTTTATGAGAGAGAGTTCAATTTATTAGTGTTGACTCCAAAATACATCAGTTGAGTCACCCCTAAGACGTGTACTGGAGAGAGAGGCACCCTGATAACTAAATGTATTATTGACTTTCCTCTTATGATAAGGCATCAGCCACCAGACATTTCAATACATTACTCACAGAAGTGTATGTCTGGAATTTATTTTATTAGCTGTTTATTATAGATTTGGGAGAAAAAAAGTGTACTGATCTGAACAGGCAGGGGATAGAGAGAGAGAGAGAGAGAGAGAGAGAGAGAGAGAGAGAGAAAGGGAGGGAGGGAGAGAAAGAGAGAGAAAGAGAGAAAGGGAGGGAGAGGGGGAAAATTAATAAAGAACAACATGAAAGGGAGATTGAAAAGGAGAAAGAAGAGGGGGAGGAGGGAGGTGTAGGGAGGGAGAGATTGTGGGTGGTGGGTGGGTAGGTGGGTGGCAGATAGAGAAACTTATGGCATGCGTGGGTGTATAATATTTCAGAACCCTCATGAGGGCCTACTGTATATTGTAGGTATTGGACAGATGCTATTCATCATGGATAAGTCACAAACCTCTCCCAGCCCCTGTGCTGCTAGCTACGTGACATCTGCGCAATTGCAATACCGTCATGCCAATCTGCCCGTACTAATAAACCCCAAATCTGAGAGTAACAGTAAAGCATTTTGGCAGTACGTGGATGGATATTCTCTACTCTTTTTTATTATTTTTTATTTTTTTTTGGGGGGGGGGTAGATCAATTTAATATTGCAGATAGATTGTAACTTCCATCAATGTAATTGTCTGTATCACTTCCAATCCCCCATGTTTTTTATACATATATTCCCCTTTATTACTTTCCAACCCCGCCACCCTTTCCCTACTTGGGGTAAACAGTTTTTTAGTAACAGTAGAACATATAGTGTACTGTAACTGCCCTTACAAAAAACACATAACGTGAAAAATTTCACATGCAAAAAAAACCCAATGTTGCAATTTTCAGGAGTCAGATACATGTGGTTCTCAGTTTCACGTGTGTTTTTTCACGTTTATTTCCCACCACTTCCAGCTACATCTGGTCTTCCATCCAGGGACCGACCAGGACTGGCCCTGCTAAGCTTCAGAGGCAAACCAGCAGTGGGATACAGGGTGCTATGTTGCTTGAAAAACTTGTGCCAAAACTTGCAACTGGAACAAAGGCAGCGAAAGCAAAGGCCATGGTAACATAACCAAAGATAGAGAAAATAGCAGGAAAGAGGGAGGTGTTTAATTTAATTGCGTTATTATATATATTTTTAACGTAAAACATTTTTTGCATCAATTTACAAAAAATATCCTGTCCACTGTTCCACGAATGTCCTGCAAAATAATTTCCTTGTCCTGCATTGGGCTCTTTAGATGTGGTCACCCTTATTCCACCGATGGAAACATTGCTACTGCAACATGCTAACACCATCTTTTCACATGTGAGGAGAATAACTTTATTTCAACCCCACATGGGAATCTGCAATTCCACAAGTGAAAGTGAGATTTTCACTGTTTTTTTTACATGTGAAACAGCAAATGTGTTTTCACATGTGCATGTTTTTCACATGTTAAACTGCATATCTGATTTTCAGGTGACATTTTTAACATGTGAAACTGCAAATTTCACATGTGAAAAGGTGGTGTTAACATGTGAACTCTAAATGTAATACATGTGAAAATATGGTGTCAAGTGTTACATTTAAACTCAACATGTGAAAACAGCTATTTCAAATGTGAAAATGTGATTTCACATGTGAAATTGCAAATTTTAGTTTTTTTTTTTTTTGTAAGGGTGTTCGCCCTAATTGTTTTCCAGTAAGTAACCCTAAGGTAGACCAGCTTGTTTTGGCTGATGAATGACGAGGTTGGTGACATGATCTGTAGGCATCAATCAGACTATACGTGTCGCCTGTCATCAGCTTCCTATCTCACCTTTCCGTGGGCCTTCTTGTACGCCGCCTTAATTTCCTGCCGTTGATTGTTGCTGCGCGATGTCAGGAGCATAAGAATGGTGTCCTCATCGGTGCCTGTCAAACATGATGACAAACATACAGGAATTGATCTTAAATCAGTGACATGAGAACATGCCTTGATAATTAATTGCAGAACTCATTAAAACAAGGCCACCCCTAACAGTTTGGAATAACTCTAGTTAGTTATCACATTGTCCATTACATTGGTGTAGTGTACCAAGTAAGGAAGTTAAGTTTGCGTTTTCAATGATAAAGGGATGATTCACCCAAAAATGTAAGTTTGTCAGTGATTTCCATGCCCCAAAAATTGGTCTAATGTCGAGCTGAGTCCATTTTCCATAAAGAGAGTGTGGTTTAAATGGCAACAACATGGTGTTCTGTGTCAAACTTGGCCAAACTCTATGTGGCTCGGACCACGCTATATGTATTCAAGAAAATCTACAGACCTCAATTAGATTGGCACCATGTAATCCCATCTAGAGGATGAACTCCCCTTTAATAAGCAGTAGATCAACATATACGCCTATTCTTACCAGGGAAATGATGAGACAAATGGACTAATGCACAAACAATCCATACCAATACCTTTAAAAAGCATCAATACCTCTGCGGTAAAACATTGAAGTACAGCAAAACAATTAATACCAGGGCTGAGACAAGCCACAGCATTTCTTGCGCAACGTTGAAACAGATTTGTTATCCGTACTTAATTATGCCATAAAGCAGGTCCCAGCTTATAATGTGATCTGGTTCAAAGCAGAGTTCAGATTGATTATGAGATCCAATGATAAATCAAGCTATAATTCAAAGATATGCCTCCATTTTACGATCATCTTCCCCTTTCCTTCCTCTTTACAACGCTGTGTCTTTTGGGTACAAGGCCATCAAATGCATCACAACACTGGGACAATTGGTTTATGTACTGCTGCGATGAATTCCAGGTCATTTGAGTGGGAAACAAAGTTCAAAGGTCAAATAGGCAAAACTAATCCAAATAAAAATCAATTTTTTTCTCCATATCATGTTGGAGCTGAACACTGCCTTCGAAGCTCTAGAATAAAGATTAGCAACCCTCACTTAAGATGGATAGAGTAAGAAGTTCCATAAAAACATGCCATTACAGTGGCATTATGCCAGGGGAATTGCAGGGGAATAAAGTATTTTATGAAATATTTAAGTACAGGTAGTTATAGTACAAGCCTGCACACCAAGCTAATGCAGTTTTTCTAAGCAAACATTTTTTAATTAAGAAGTAAATACTCTGTAAATACCACTTGTTACTGGTTTATTACAGTGTAATTACATATTTTGCAGTTTCTCTGATAGAGTTTATATCTGGTCATATGTGGCTTAGTTGGTAAGAGTGTAGAGCTAGAAACGGCAGGTTTATGAGTTCAATTGCCACTGGGGCCACATACTAAAATGTATGCCCTCACAGTACTGTAAATCACTTTAAAAAGTGTCTGCTAAATTGCATATATTATTATATGTATAACTTTAAGTGCATCTAACTCACCTATGCCTTTCATGGCCTTGTGCAGGAGCTCAGCATCCTGCTTGGCATTGAAGTTGACAAAGTCTTTCACACTGCCTCTGTAGGAAGCCTGTGGGAAAGAAATAACAACTGATTAGCAGAAGGAACAGAATACATACTTTACATTGCCTGCATTTCCTGAATATGTGTTGTTGTGGGACCGACATGGGAGAAAATGTTTTGCACAAACTATAATCTAGCAAGCATGTTTGGTTGCAGAGCCGAAAGCTTAGCATCAGAAGGGGGATAATAGTGGGATATTGTGCAGCTGTGTGTCTCAATAGACACGTTGTAATACTTTATTTTGTCCCTTCCAGATGGTTAGGCTACTGTAATCTAGTCTGTGTTAATCTACATATATGTTAGCTATCAATGCTAACTCAGAAGTAAACACATACAAGCTCATATTGATAGGCCTAGCCTGTGTCATGTAGAGTCATAATTCTCTCAATTGTACTTGGTTTCCATCTCTGAGGAAAATATAATTTGCTTTGTTGTGCATCTCTTTGTCTACTTAGCAAGATTTACTGGTTTGTGCTGATCGAAAACACACACAAATTGAATCGACTGAATGTCCGATTCTGCTACATATTGCGAATGCTGCTGGTTAGCTATGTTTAGCTAATGGTTGACATGTTAGCCATTGTCTGTTGGTGAGGCATTATGAGTCAAATTAAAGGCTATCAGCACAAGGTATTCAATTCTTCTACTATGTTTAATCATTAAAGATATTGATATAAGGGAGCGACTAGAATTACAAGACCAGGGGTGAATAAATACAGTGGGTGAGGGGTGAAGACTACATCAGTGGCGGTTGGTGACTTAAAATTTGAGGAGGATGATGGATTCATTTTATTTTGAACAACAACAGAAAAATGGAATGACAATCTTGATTTGATCTACAGTACATTCAAGTTCACATGGTTCAGAATAACCTCAAAAAGGTTGGAGAAAGGATTCATTAAATTAAATTAGTAGAATTACCAGAAGGAGGCAGCAACTTGACTGACTACCACACACCTAAGTTAAAAAAAGATATTTTAATGCTGAGTGAATGAACATTAAAGGCTAGTGTCTTAGCTTTTTCATTAACAATTAAAGATGTCTTCTGTTTTCCCGCAGGCATTGAAGTAATAATGCAAAGAGACACAGGCAATCTGTACAAACAGTAATCAACTAATGCAAATAGGACTATGGGACAATCCACTGTTAGATTGATGGCATTTGGCTGTATTTACTCAATGGTTGAAACCCATTGCGAGTCACTCCAACCAAAAGAGACCATGCATGTCTGTCTGTCTGTCTTTCTATTTCAAGTTTCCAACGCAGAGTGATTGGAGTCCTCTTAGATTTATGTGTAGGGATTACAAGTGCGGACTGAGGATGGACATTGCTACGCTGAGCTAGAGTCTACCTGACTACCTCAGGGATATTCAAGTCAGGTCTCCCCCAATGAAACCCTATTCTAGGTGGGTGGGCTTAGACCCACGCTATCCCTGTTACCATCCTTACGGTAATACAACACTATGCAAATGACCCACCATTATGAGGAAATGGTGCATGGAAGTCGACCTCTGACTGTCTTTTTAATAATCTAATCTAATTGTTAGAAATATTCATAACAAGCTGAAGAAGCGTCTGGAATTACAATCAAATCAAAGAAATGAACCAGATTCAATTAGTTTCAATAAGTTAGTGCTTGATGCCACAGCAGGGGAGCTGTTTGCTGTCATATTGCACTTTTAATGAGTACATCTCCATAGTGAGTGAACAACTTGAAGTTTCAAATGAATACGTGGAAATGAGATGTTCTTAATTGGTAATAATACAGTTGTTATGTTATTAGCGTTTTCTTCAATACATTATGTACTGAAGAAAACTGGCCAAAAGTGGCAATCATTGGATAATGATCCCAAGTCAACCAGAACTGGTGCGGTCCATTTCACTGCTGTATTTGCAATGCTTTGAACCAACACAGCAGTAAACAAACAAAAACACTTACCATTAGATATAACTTGTTGATGAGACAAAGTAGAATTGATCAAATCTGAAAAAGCAATTTTGTAAGCATTACATAAGCTGGTATATCATCATTTACAATGGCACTGAGAGTCACGCTTCTAAGAGCATCAATTTACAACAACAAATGGTCTTCAAATTTTGTAGAAAAACATGGAAATTCATAAGTTAAATTAATTGAGCGTAGGATGTCAAATACACAAAAGTTTTTTTTAATATTAAATGCACTAATGATCTTCTGTCTTGTCTCAGATAAGTCACAAAAACACTGCAGTATAAACCATATGAATGTTAACAAAAATGAAAAGGTGTCTTACCAAAGGTGTCTTGTTTTTGACCTCTAAGAATGGAAAGTGCAGTAAAGATACAGTAGGCTATGAACATGTTATGGGTATTGACACTCCTCTACTCCATGCCTCTTAACGCTCACTAAGCTCTCGACAACAACAGTGTGGGGAAGGCCTAACTGAACTACTCCACTGTCCAAATAAAGTATCCTATTTCAGCAGCTGTCAATGAAACGGGGGATCATGACCTAATGCATTCTGGTGTTTTTACAATGTAGTATACATATGATACATTTACCACACTAACACACGGTCAAGAGAGACAGTAAGAGAGACTGTTGTAACAATGGACAGTGAGGGATCCAATAAAGATCTTTTACATTTCAGCTTAGAATTTCCCTAAATAGGGTATAATTTATAAATGTCCCTACTATCCCATTCCAGCCTTATTCATGATTATCCGTAATCATGGTAGCATCCACATTAATGTAGAAGTGTTCAGAAAGATATTATATTATTTTTTACAATAAAAGTGACAATAAGTGAATTTGGCCAAATACTTATGATACCTTCAAATGGGAGACTATATACATAAAGTGCATTCATTTCTAAACGGTAAAACAGATACCGGTATGTATGAAAATACCCTCAAATAAAAGGGGACATTCTGTAATGTCGCCTCATTTAAAACATTTTTATCTCAAATCCAAAATGCTGGAGTACACCAAATCAAAAGTTTTAGCTTCACTGTCTAAATACATTCGTAGGGGAGTGTACCTAAAACAACTTATCAACCACTTCCCTGACTTGATAGATATAGGTTAAGTTTAGATCTGTATAAGCAAACCAGAACTCAGTTAGATACATATGAAATACTTTGAAATACTTGAGATGCAGTTCCCGGTACAATGAAATAGTAATACAACGCAATAATACAACAATTGAATACATACAACCAAAAGTGTAAACTCTAAGCTAAATCAAGAGCGGCACACATTAAATATTTTATAGGATTTGAAAGTGACATCCCAGCATGTATTTAGCCCAGATCTGACGCAAACATGACTCATACATATTTTTTGTTTGCGAGATGGAGGAATGTTGAACAAGTCAATGTTATGTGGGGCCACAATAGGCAGTCTTCCCAATAGTTTCACTCGACAACTTCATTCAAATCACATTTTATTTGTCACATATACGTATTTAGCAGATGTTATTGCAGGTGTAGCGAAATGCTTGTGCTTCTAGCTCCGACAGTGCAGTAATATCTAACAAGTAATATCTAACAATTTCACAACATATACCCAATACACACAAATCTAAGTAAGGAATGGAATTAAGAACATATACATATATATACAAAGTGTGGAATCAATGCAACCTACCCAGAGCAAATGTGCAGATCTTTGTTTTTTTAAGTTTCACCTTGATCTTTGCTCCTGTCACATTGTATTTGGACAGACAGAGCAAGTCAAGGTTACAATAGATCTCACCATTCTTCATACTGAGTCGGACTTTCATGTTCTATGTTTAGATTTTTTTAAAGCTTACAAACACAAACAGTAGCCCATGCCTCCTCTTCACCAGCTTCCCTTATCTTCACTCAACTCTGAAAGTAGCATGTTGAGTTGTGGGAGAGGCTGAGTGAGTAGTCTGTGGTAGACGGGATGAGATCGTTGATAGGAGTGAGATCAGCAGATCACAACAACAACAAGGTGTATGTGTCCTATCTCTCCCATATCACCCTTCCTGTCCTGCACACAGCAAACCTTAATTAAAGTGAGCACTTGCGAGGAGACAGGAGCCCAGGTAAGCATCGTCTCTTGTCGAGTTACAGTATACAGATCTCGGTTTCATCTTAGGGGTTTTGGAGTTGAGTCAAGGCTAAACAAGCATAGATACCAACACATACCAACAACAATATACAGTGAGAATCTTACACACCAAAGACTTGACCCCATCTTCAACCGCCAGCCTGACTGTATGATAAAAACTGTGGTAAGACTTTATAATAACTTTAATGACTTTAACTTTAATAACTTTATAACATGAATAAGCATAAATAAAGTATTTACAGATAGTCTATGATACATACTATTATCACATATTTAATTACTTATAAAGCATTCATAAGCATTATAAGTGGTACAGTTCATAAGCATTTATGACATTTCTTTCAATATATAATGCATTTATAATTGCTTATTTATTTAAGTTATTAGGTATGAAGTGTAACCTAGGTCCTTCTGTGATGGACTTGTCTCCCTAGGGTGCCACATTTAGGCCTAAGAGTGCAGTGCTATGTATCCTCCTTCCTCTCGAGAATACTGCCACCAGTTGTTGGAGTTTGAAGTTTGCACAGAGTTCACCCTTCTGCAGCAGCAGATTTTCTTCCTCACTCTTGGTTTCAACAGCTAGTCGATATGGAGGGATTATTATTAAAATCTCCACCTCAGTTGGGACAGAATGATATACGTCCAACTGGACAGCTCACTTTCCAAGTGCTGATAAATGGACAATAAATTACATTCATAAATCGAGGCGTCAGTTTCGGGTTCCTCCCGCTGCTTATTTGGTCCCATTCCTCCTATACTCTAAGGAGGTGGCTGATAAAATAGAGAGGGATACATTTCCACGGATATTGAGAGCTCTTTGAGATATTGAGAGGACTGTCTGGGAGTGCTTCTCAAATCAGATCATGAGATTTGGTTGGGTTGAAGTGACTTCCTTCAATACTTTTTGTCACCTTGGGATAAATTGCAGTGTGAGGTTCTAGACGTGGATGATTTAAAAATATATGCCTGTTTCTCAGGTTCTGAACTCACAGTGAAACCCAAGTGTAGGGCGGCAGGTAGCTTAGTGGGTAAGAGCGTTGTGCCAGTAACCGAAAGGTCGCTGGTTCTAATCCCCGAGCCAACTAGGTGAAAAATCTGTCGATGTGCCCTTGAGCAAGGCACTTAACCCTAATTGCTCCTGTAAGTCGCTCTGGATAAGAGCGTCTGCTAAATGACTAAAAAAAAAAAAAAAAAAAAAAAAAAAAAAAGTTTATTATTAAGCTACTATGACCTCAGACTATGCAGGCCTGAGAATCAATACAACATCCAAAGGGGCTAACATATTTTCTATTCATAATAATAAGAAATATTTATTTTATGTAAATGAAGAGTCATCACATTATGGATGGTATCAAGCTTATAGAAATAAGTATTAAATAACTATAATTAATACATTATTTAATTCATAAAATCCATTAATCCATTCACTTCAATAACACATTAATTAATTGTTGGAGAGTTTACATGAATCACCCTCCTCAGAGGTGTGTTGACAGGGGCAGAATCCATTATGATAACGTAGGCCCCGAGGCCATGGTGATCACCAGGGAGAGACAAGATAGGAGGTGTAGACTTGCTAAAGGTCATATGTTGGTTTATTGAGCCCTGCAGATTACCAAGTGGTGACAGATGACATTAGTCAACCACTGAACACCTCCGCCCACCAAAATAAAGAATAGAAAAATAGTATGATGCTGCGTGTTTGGCTCACACACCATCAGCCGGTGACATTGATGAATCATGATTCTACAGGACATACTGTAGTACCCAACAGGTCACATAATGAATTATCATCATAGCCACGTGTCCCTATGCCCAGCTTGAGTTCTTTTCTCTGATTTTGTGTGGCTTGTTAGTGAAGTGGATGGACCCACTGTTACCAAGGAATTTGAACTGTTCAAATTCCTTAATTGTTACGATGTTTTACGTCAAAAGGTTTGGGCCTCTGTGGTTAGTTTAGGCACATCATAGTTAAAGTAAACCCACTTGGGTTGTGTATGTGATAGACAAGGTAGTATAAAGGACAGTTTTTATTGTCAAGGTTGTCGCTAAGTCTCAGTGCAGTTCAGCACATAGTAACACATCCTTGACCTTATTAAACAAAGCTTTGTTGGTGAAAACGTGACGCTTTTGTCTTGTTTATTTATCTGAGACAATTTTTTGGACAAAAAATACTGCCATAATATTTTTGTAATTCAGAGAATAATTTTTGCCTGTCAATGCCACATGAGTTTATTTTTGCTGAGGTAAACTGAAGACAAAATCTGAATCGAAATCGAAATGTACAATGTCACAAATGAGGCTACAGTGCCGTGAAAAAGTATTTGCCCCTTTCTGATTCAGTGTTTGGTTTTTGCCAGGCATAATAGGACCCATGTCATCCAAAAAGTAGACTCAAGTTTGCCAAAAAGCACCTGAAAGCACCTGGATGATCGCCAAGACTCCTGAAAGAATGTTCTATGGACAGATTAGTCAAAAGTAGACCCGAAAACCAAACACTGCATTCCACAGTAAGAACCTCATACCAACAGTCAAGCATGTTGGTGGTAATGTGATGGTTTGGGGATGCTTTGCTGCCTGAGGACCTGGACGACTTGCCATCATTGAAGGAACCATTAATTCTGCTCTGTATCAGATAATTCTACAGGAGAATGTCAGGCCATCCATCTGTGAGCTTAAGCTGAAGCACAGCTAGGTCATGCAGTAAGACAATGATCCAAAACACACAACCAAGTCTACATCAGAATGGATGAAAAGCAACACATTTAGGAAGCTGTGAGTGTGTATGTGTGCACAGGTGTGTGTACGTGTATGACACATAATTTTTCTGTGTCATACACAATAACCCACAAATATCGCTGAGTTAGAGCAGTTCTGCATGGAAGAGTGGGGCAAAATTCCTCCACAATGATGTGAGAGACTGATCAACAACTTCAGGAAGCGTTTGGTTGCAGTCATTGCAGCTAAAGGTGACACAACCAGTTATTGAGTGTAATGGGGCAATTACTTTTTCACACAGGGGCATTGGGTGTTGCATAAATTCATTTAGTAGTTTCCTGCAGTCAAATGACCAAATCACCTTCTAGTGGCCTCATGGGTGGAATGTTATTAATATTTTTCATAATTAATCAACATCATTTAAAAAAACTGGCTGAAAATCTGGTGTTTCTATGTCAAATGATTTTGTTATATTTCAGTGCTCTGTGATGTATATAAAGTGTAATATTGGGATGCAAACTCAAAATTGAACACATTTCAACTCTATATCTGACATGGTGTCTTCTTTTTTGTAAGCCCATAACCATGTGTGTGAGGTAT